GTCTTTCTTCAAATTTTGGTTTAAATGTTTTATCTTTGGACAAGTTTTCTCTGATCATTTGATTATGTTTATGTGTTTATGCTTTGCTCAATTTTGTCATTTTACCTTTATCAGACTGTAAAGTTAGTAACAGGGACCACTGGAATGTGACACAAATAAGGCTTCTAATAAGTACTTGTTGAAGGAAGGTGTGCCTTTATTCCACAGAACACAGGCCATAAAAGTACAAATAAAATGACTCAGTAAAGTCTATGATGATGGTCAGCAAAAGATAAGAGGAAAGAAAAAGAGCTGAGTTAAGGCCACAAATGGTGTTAAAATGCCACGCAGTGTAAACTCTTCTGTACTAAATGTTCAGAGTGAAAAAAAAATTAATGACACAGAAAGATTCATGGTTCCTGGAGCTACAGAAGAAGTAAGAATGAGAATGGCTACAATTGAGTAAAAGACTGTCTTTTGGGGTAGAAAAAAGTTTCTGATAGACTGTGGTGATAGGTGCACAACAGTGTGGTTGTGCTAATGCCTAGAACCAGAACTGGGTACTTCACAAATCAATTTCATTGTGGGTAGAGTACATCTCAATAAAGATATTATTTTTTTAAAAAAAAAGGGGTACATGAGATGAACTGCTGTGAAGCTGCTATATCACACTAACAAAACCGCAAGCCCTCAAGAGTCAGGCCATAATATTGATCATTTTATCTGCAGAGCCTAGTACACAGCTGGGACTTATTGCATGAATGATGACTGGATACTAGAGACTGTCATTTGGAAATGAATACTCTAACCATTAGATCTAGCTAAGCTTTGTTCAGCTCTGATTTCAGTAAAGAGTGAGCCCTCATGAGATATAATTTCACATTAACCAGATATGAAACTTAGTAGTCCACAAAAGACTCCCACATCTATGCCAGTATTTGAAAATTATGCACACACATAAAAGACCTATAATGTGGGAAGTCCAGCTCACAATCACTGAACTTCACAGAGGTATAAAAGAAACTTCCCAGAATCGAGCAGTCTCCCATGACACCTGACTGAACATGGCACCACAATTTCAGAGGCTGGGTAAAGTGTCTTCTTCCACATGTTCACCCTCATGGACAAGTGGAGATGAACTCCATCCCAGGAATACATAAAAATGATCAGAAAGGTACCATTTGAACACTGAGGTTCATCCTGAGCTCCACCTCTCACATATTCTTTGGCCTTAAATAACCTAGTTACTTTCTTTTCCCATCTAGTTATCCACAGAATCTGAGTGATAAGACTTCTGCTGTTTTTATTCAAAGTATGCATTGAAGACGGAGAAGTCCTGCAGGCAGGTACGTAAAGTATTTGCCTCCACATCTTTTACATGGGATTTATGTCTCCTACCCCAGCTTCCAGAATATTAAACTCTTGTCATCACAGTTAAAAGTCACATTGCCAACTCAAATGGAACCAAGTCTTTCTAAGGGCCCACCCTTCTAGGGCTGTTCAGTTTGCACAAAAAGAGTTCCTGGCCTGCCACACACCACCCGTAGCATCATGGCTTCAGCTACCTGCAGTCTCTAAGAGAAGATACTAGAGACCTCCATCACTCCAGCTGCATTCAGCAGTGATGCAGGCCTCGAACAAAACCATCCACCTAGTGCCAGCCAGTGCTCATGACGTGGTCCAACACTGTGAGGCAGCCCTTCTCATGACTCCTTACAAGGTGAAAGAAAAGATGAAGTTCTCATAATAATCTTGGTTGCTGAGGCTTTCGTTATGCACAATGGGGTTCTGGGTAAGTCACAGGACAGGCAATTGAGTTAACAGGCTGTATTCTATTGGTTGAACCAACATTAACACTTTCCATCTTTTACTTACCCACTCTCAGGACTGTTTTGCATCAGAATAACATTAGGTCAGACAAAAGAATTCTATGACTTATCCTCCTGAACATGGTCAGAAGAGAAGCAACCAAAAGGACTTTCTGGGCTTTGGAAACCAGCACTTGGAAAAGCACCAGCGGCATTTTACAGGAGCTGAGGCCACTGGGAAGAGGGGCTATGCCTGGGCTGAAGCACATCCTTTACTCACCCTCTGCTGTGAGTCACAGAGCACATCTGCACAGCCCTGCAGAGAAACCCATCTGCAACGGCCTCAAGGCTACATGCCCAGATGTTAGTTGTGCTTGACTGTTTGTTTGTTTGGGGGGAGCATACAGCACAGTCTTCACTAATTTGAACACATGTGGGCAAATTACTTTCTTGTTTGGCATCTAGTGCTGAATCTCACTACTCTAACTCCATCAATTAATCTCCCAGCTCCATAAATGAACCTGGGGTGCCCTTGGACAAATACCTTTTTGGTGACATTCCAAGCTGCCAGAGGATGGAATCATATGCTCACAGAGTCAGTTCCAGGAGGCATTCAGAGCATGTAGTCTACCCAGATAAAGCTCTCACCAAAGCCATGAGCGGGCATGAGCCAACCAATCTGCCCTGTCTCTGCCCTAGTCCCAGCTGCCTTAATCCCAGGAGATCAGGCCGTTCTTGTGTTTCTACTCAGTGCTGTTCCTTCCAAGGCTCCAACTGCTCCCGCCCCCACCCCATTTGCCTATAGCCCCTGATCTCCACTTCCCACTGATTACCAAACTCACTCTAACACTTACCCAGTACCTTAATCCTCCCACTGACACTGACATTTTCCTCCATACTTATCTCATACTTTCCCCAGCCCCTTATTCTCATGGTCACTCACTAAAATTTGTCAATCCATCTCAGGTTTCATTCTTAAGTCTAGACTTCCAATACCCTACAAGTTAGTCCAGTTTACCTGGAAAGCACAGCCTTTACAACAGCCTGCACATCAACCATTTACAGCAGAGATCAAAGAACATCAGGAGCAAGGAGGGCACAACCCAAAGGAAAACCTCAGGGAGAGGCATGGAGCTTGACTTTATTTGGTGATACACATTTATTCAACTGTTCTAGTTCTTTAAGGGTCAAAATTTACCTCATAAAAACATTAAACTCTACCATGTTCCTGGATTCTATCACCTGAGCTCTCTGAATGGGAGGAGAGGCCCAATGTCTGGGATTGGCTGAGTGGTCTAGGTGAGAACAAGAAGACTAGGCCTACACCTACTTACTTCCTGTTTTTTGTTCACTCTAACAATTCATCCGTTTCACAGGTGCTCACTAACTGTATGATATTTGTGTACTTGTCATTCCATCCCTTATAAAACTCAGAAAACATGGACACCTATAACCCCCTTGCAAACACCTTTAACATTCTTGTTTCTGAACTTCTTTAGCTGACTTTTGCACAACTGCATCAGAAACTCTAAACTTTACTGGAAAAATCCATCTCCACACACTGTAACTCTGCACCTGCACTCACCGTTTCCCAGAAACAGTGAGTTTCCTGGTTTGCTACAGACTCGGGATGGTTATTAACACTTGAACTTCTCTTCTAGTGGTCCATTTCACCTGGAACTCAAAAGCTCTTGGCAGTATTCAGAGATAGTTCAAGTCCACAAAAAAGCCATTGATTTCTCATAAGTAACCTATCAAAAAAATATGCATCCATAACCTGTTTTTTTGTTTTCTGACCTGTTAGAGTGAATGCTGTCCCTGACTTTATTAAGTGCCTCAAAGCATAACCACATACATTTATGAGATTTTACCCTTCATAGCTGTCAGTCTCTGGTCCTCATCTGGGAATGGCCTAGTACCTCACCCACATCCCCTTCAATAGGGGTTTGCTCCTCTCATGGATTCACACTCTCTTGAGCATTTTCCCAACCTCACTCTCCATCAGATAATTTCCATTGGCATACAAAAATTATCTGATATTTCTCACCTTAAGGTAAAATCACTACCCATACTTTCCTGTACCCACTATGGACTCTACACCATATTCTGCAGCCATTCACAAGAGCACCAAACAGTTACCTTAATTTGCTATCTTTACCTTTAATATACATACATTTAGTAAGCCTTTCCTAACTACAGAAAGTAAATGAAGACTAACATTTCTAACATCCTATTATCTTCTAATTTCAGTATATTTTATCAATTTATCAACATAAATTTTTCAATAACCTGCTTAAAAATATAAATATTCAGTCTTATATGTAAAAATTTTCACCTTCTCTCTACTTTTGAATGCTGGTTTAGCAGGACAAAATTCTATCCTGACAGATACATCCCATGGCTTTTTGAAAGTATTATTACATTATCTTCTTCATTATTACTTTCTGATATGAGGTATGAGGATAGGAAACATAGTCAAATGATTAAAACATTAAGCATAGTCAAATGATTAAGTCATTATTGGCTTATGTCATATATTATTACAAAACCTGTGCAATTCTAAATCATGTGCAACCTGAAGAATGAGAAATTATATTCCATTTATGTGTGATGTGCCAAAATGCTTTCTACTTTCATGTATAAATAATTTGAAAAAAATATTCATTTTTCTAAACTTTCATGAAAGCCTTTTTAAAATTCCATTTCTGAATTCGTAAGTTAGTTAATAAGGGTCCACAACTAACTAGAAGTTGGTAAAAAAAGTAGGTTTTCTGTTGTGGTGTTCCATGTTATAAGATCTAAACTATGACTGACTTCACTCAAAATTCATTTTATAGCTATCAATTATAATGTTCTTAACTTCAGTTTTATTTCCAACCTTAACAGCAGTAAATAGTTTTATTTTAGGAAGTTGGTTTTTCTCAAAAAACAGCACTGACAGCCACAGCTTGCGCGCGCACACACACGCACACACACACACACACACACACACAAAAAAAAATAAAATTTTAAAAAAGTTTTAGAAAGCCAGAGATGATTAACCTCATTTAGTAACTACAGGGGACAGAAAACTGGAAAATGTAGAACCACTTTGGAAAGAAAACTAAAAAATGTAGAACCACTGCCCTCTGGTGGAAAAAAAGAAACAGTGAAAGCCAGAAGCTGGTGCACCCACAGGCTGAGACAGGCAGGGCTGGGGAGGACTTTACCTGTTTCTGTGAAGGTAAACAAGGAAAAGGAAAAATGTGATGAAAGCAGATAAATGCCAGGGATTTGAGGAGACAACATAGCACACCCAGCTGGTCATTACTACTTTCTACTTAGTTTCCTTTGGCTTTCTACTGATTTTTGCTCAGCGTTAATGTTCTTATGTCCCTTCCCAGAATATGCAACACCAGAGGTTAAAAGAGCTTGTGTGCTATCTACCTATCTGTTGCCAGTGTGAAGCCCAATTGCCCCTGTATGGTGTGAGGGGTGGAAAGCAGCAGGTGTGAGGGATGGAAAGCAAGGCTCAGTACAAGAGCTGGCAACAGTGCATTTGCCTGTTACTGGAAATTTTAATGATGCAAAAATAAAGGTATTTTTAAATGCCTCAACTACATGCCTTTCTTTCCTACACCTGCAGTCTGTGAAGTTAGCCATGTATCTGAGAAATGAGAACAGGTGGTCCTCATGTCCGTAACTCATACACCTCACCCCTGATTTGTATTTCAGACTGGCTATAACTGAATATAAACAGAGAGGGAGCAATAGTTATCTGTTATTGTATTATAAAATATGGCACCATAATCACAGTTTGCACAGAGACCACCATAGCTTTATATAGAAAGTGATTCTACAAGGATCTGCCCAACAATCATTTGGGCACCCTCAGATGAATTCCACTCATGTTTTTAGCCATGGTGGTCAAGGTTCAGCCTTTAGTTAGCTCTTGTAATTCTCATGCGTTTTGCCTTTAAATTTCTGTCCTTGCCTTAACATCATTGCCTACAGTTACAACACAAGGCATTTCACCACTGCAGTGGTCAGGTACTGTTATTGTTGGGGTTACTATTGGGGTACCTGTTTGGGTTCAAGTCCTGAGCAAGATACACAGAAGTAACGGGCAAAGGATAGAATTATTGTGAAGTTGAAGGTGAAGGAGGTGGAGTGGAGTGGGTTGAGAGAGATTCTCTAAGTCCACAAATCTAGAAAGTCTAGAAAACAACTTCTTATATACTTAGCTGAAAACCATTCACTTCCCTATACAGACCTCATTTAAAACCTTAGTCCATTTGCTCCCATTGGTTATCTTGATTAAAATAGCATCCGAATTTTTCCCCATTGGTAACTTCAGAAAACTTAATTAGAATACTCTCCAGTTCAAACCCCTTGGTTGTTTTAGAATGCCAAACCTGAGGCAGGAGTTGCCATGGTGATAAGTCTTTAGTGTTGGGAGTTGTCATGGCAATGAGCCATAGGAATGTGATGACCCATCTCCCTGCCTAGTTCACTAGTGGCATTTTTTTCTTACCTGCCTCTGGCATTTTGTAGTATCTGAAATTCTACATAAAAGTACCATCATTGGAAAAGAATGTCATTCCCAAAGAATTACAATTAATCTTTGGTAATTTTTTTTCTTTTTTTACACTAACATTTTCTATGTTGTGTTCCATCTAGTATTATCCCTTCTCAGTTCTGTGCATGGCTTCTTCCCAGCCCCCCTTTTTAACTTTGGTGTATTCTGACAAAAGATGTCAAGCAGGGCTGGGGATGTGGCTCAAGCGGTAGCGCGCTCGCCTGGCATGCGTGTGGCCCGGGTTCGATCCTCAGCACCACATACAAACAAAGATGTTGTGTCCGCCAAGAACTAAGAAAAAATAAATAAATATTAAAATTCTCTCTCTCTCTCTCTGTCCCCCTCTCTCTCTCACTCTCTCTTAAAAAAAAAAGATGTCAAGCATGGGTTGTGAAGTTGGGGTTCAGGTCCTTGGTTATTGAAGGTGACAGTGAAAGTAGCACTCTGTGATGGTAAAGTAAAGTGGGCCAAGCAAGAGAGAAGCTCAAGGCTCACATTTCTGTAAAATTAGTCTTACATGTTGAGTATGAAGAAATCACTCCCCTACACAGACCTGATTGAAGAACTTACCCCATTTGTTCCCATTGGTTATGAAGAGCATCCACTATTCCCTCTGTTAGACCAGGACACAAGAAAAGACCACTGACTCCAATTAAAATCAAATTAAAGCAAGCTTATTATTTCGACCGGCCGGACTGCCTTTTCCTCCCAAAACGGCGGGAACAAGACAGCAGCCCCAGCTTTCCTACAGCCCAGCTTTATAGCCCAGAAAGTTACACAAAAGGGGGAGTTACAGATAACAGAACTCTGACAAGCAGTTTACATTTTTTGCTGGCCCCAACATCAGAATTTATGAGGACCATTAGAGCCTCAGAGAGGGTCATTGTCTGGCCAGGGAAGGCCAATATTTATGAGGTGTCACTAAAGTTTCAGACAGGGTTGCTATCTGGTCAGA